TTAAACAGCCCTCCAGATGTGATACTTCGGCCTCTGAATACCAAGGAGGAGTGGGTTTCTCTTTCAGGAATTTGGGAAATCCAGGTAAATCCATTTTTCTGTGACAGTTAATGGGAGCCTTAGCCCATTTGTTCAGAAAGGAGTCTGTAGCTGGAGGGAAGTTTGGGTGTTTAGTGCCATCTACTGGGTAATTCAGGCCTGACAGACTCTAAAATGAGGATTAAGATTCCAGTATGTAACCAAGTTTTGCTTCTTGGCCTATGGGTGCAGGGCTTTCATTTCCTTAAGGAACAAGAAATAAGCCAGCAGCTCTGGTTGGCTTAACAGAGAGAAAATGCACAGTCAACAAATACCCTGGAAAGTTTTAATAGCATGAACTCTTTCTAAGAGTACAGGGAGCCCGTTTTGAATGATGTCTAAGATCATAACATGTAGCAGGTGTTGGGTTTGGAATGGGGGTGGAAGAGGGAGAAGAGCCCCTACCTGTGATTTCATTAACATAAGGAATTGAGAGTGTGGAAATTTCCTCCACTCATGCAGATCAGTTAGTCATCCTTCCAGTGACATAGAAGACCACTAGCCTTACCATCTGGAAAGGGAAAGGAATAAGCATTTACATAGTGCCTACTGTGTGCCAAGCCCTGTGCTAAGCAGTTTTTACAAATATTATCTCATTTCATCCTCACAACAACCCTGGGAGGTAGGTGCTATTATTGTCCCTATGTTACAGTTGAGGAAACTGAAACAAACAGGTTAAGTATCTTGACAGTAAATGTCTGAGGCCAGATTCAAACTCAGGTCTTCCTTGCTCCAGGTCCAGAGCTCTTTCTATGCTATTAAAACTCTCTAGGGTATTTGCTGACTGTGCATTTTCTCTGTCCATGTGCCACAACTGCCTCTGTGCCCTTCAGTCCCCTGGCACCGTCATCCAACCTGCTTATGTAACCTAAGAGCCCCTTGGGCCTTGGCATCTGCCCAGTCGCTGAACCCTTGTGTCTCCTGACCTCTGTGTCAGCCTTGCAGCTGACCTCTGTTTTATGTGTTATCTTCCCATTTAGAGAGTGAGATCCTTGAGAACAGGGGCTCTTTATTTTTTTTTCTTTGTGACCTCAGTGCTTAGTGCTGTTCTTGGCACATAGTATTTAAGAAATGCTTTTTCCTTCATTCTCTCGCTTATGGTCTTAAAGAGCTGCCTGGGCATTAAAAAGTTAAGTGGCTTGCCCAAGCATTAGCTTTCTGACTTGCAGAGCCAGCCTTCTCTCTACTCCACCATGCTGCCTCTTATTGGGGGAGGGGGAGGGGTTAGTAAATATTAAGTAGCCACAGTCTGTTTTCAGAGTTGAATCCTTCACTAGTGAAGCATGGAGAACCTTCTCCCTTGGGCTTTTGCCAAACTTGGCTTTGTATGAACTCACTTTTATTTATTTTCATTTTTTATGATGAACTTTATGGTCATGAACAAATCTGAACACTTCAATATGTAAGGAACAAAAAAAAAGAGGCTAGTATATGAAATTGTGAGTTTGTGAAATTGTTGAATTCAGTTTTATCAGGATTCTTTGATCTTTGCACTTCAGAAGAGCCATTATTTCATCAGTGAGGATACATCCTCCATTGACCTACATTGCAGCTCCTCCATCCTTTAGTAGAGGGTCTTGATAAGTTGCTGTGGCCAATAAACTTGATCACGAGGCAGCCAGTTTCCTGGTAATGTGCCCCTCAGTACTTAAGTCAGGCCAGTTCCCAGTAGGCAGACACACATTGCCATGCCACCAATCAAAATCTTTCCAGCCATTAGAGATTGCACTCTACTGCCTTTAAGGACGGAGGATCACCTCCACACCTTGACATGGCATCAAGGAAGAACTTTAAGGAGAGTGTCATCAGTTACTCAGAGGCAGTCCTGACTACAAGGGCAGTTCTCTTATCTGTCTACCTCACAACGTTGCCTCTCTCAACTCTGACCTACTTGCTATGTGACGCTGAGCAAGTCACTTCCTCTCAAGATGCTAGGTAACTGTCTGAGACTGGAAGTTTCAGATGTTTCAACCTGCATTGGTAGAGGGATTCCCTCACCAAGAGCTGCCTTCGTTGTTGTTAAGTCATTTTCAATCGTGTTCAACTCTTTGTGACCTCTTGTGGGGTTTTCTTGGCAAAGATACTGGAGTGGTTTGCCTTTTCCTTCTAACAGATGAGGAAACTGAGGCAAACAGTGTTAACTGGTTTGCCAAGAGTCAAAGAGGTAGTAATTCCCTGAGGTCATATTTGAACTCAGGAAGATGAGTCTTCCAGATTCCAGGCCCAGCACTCTATCCTACTGTGTCACCCAGCTGCCCATGAAATCACAAGTCCCACTCCTATCCCCGTCTTCCTCAATCAGCATCCCTCCAGGCAGGGTATTGTAATAACTAGATACTTTATAGAATATAGAGAAAAGAGTTTGTGCCCTCTAGGAGATTATGTTCTAACTTTACGGGGGGAAAAAATTTAACTGCCTTGGCTGGCAAGAAAAAAAAATAGTTAGGAAATGTAGTACCAGTCTACCAATGCACCCAGTAGAATTAAAACCCTGGGATGCCTGACGTTTGCACATATGCGAGCAGGCATGCAGCATATTGGAACAGAAAGACCACTGGAGTTGAAGGCAGAAGGCCAAGGCTCTGCTTCCAGCCCCACCACTTGGGGCTGTGTGGCTTTGGGCCTCTCACTTTACTTCTGGGCCTCAACATCTTCATCTATAAAATGAGAGGGTTGCAGCAATACAGTCAATGATTTAAGACAACTCCAAAAGACTCATGATGGAAAATACTTTCCACATCCAGAGAAAGATCTATGGAGTCTGAATGCAGATCAAAGCATACTATTTTCTCTTTTTTTCTATCTCTTGGTTTTTCCCTTTTGTTCTTACTTTTCTTTCACAACACGACTAATGTGGAAATATGTTTATCAGATAGCTTGCCGTCTTGAGGAGAGGGTAGGGGAGAAAAAAAGTTTGAAAATCAAAATCTTATAAAAGTAAGTGTTGAAAACTTTCTTTACATGTAATTGGAAAAAAAATAAAATATTAAAATAAAAATAAAATGAGAGGGTTGGACTGGCTGGTCTCTGAGGTCCCTTCTAGCTCTAAATCCTTTGATCCCATTAGTCATTTAGCCTCTTCGTGCCTCAGTTCCCCATCCACGAAAATGAGGGCAATGTGAGTTGTACCTCCTACCTACGTACCAGAGTTATCACAAAAACCAAACAAGCTGATCCTCGAGGCTCATGGTAACTAATACATAGCATTTATATAATACTATATATATGTAGGGAGTGATGATTGTCTTTCACTGGTAATAATAGCTGTCAGATTAGACAACAGAATTGGGTTAGAGAAGTCTTGGCAGGCTAGAATGGTAGTCCCAATTTAGTTGAGATAAACAATTCAAATTTCCACATAGTGCTTCAGCGTTGGAGGCAGATTCATAGAGATTTAGTGTCCAGTGTCATAAAGTCCACTGCACTTTACCCTGATCATACAACAACTGAAGTATTATGTACAGTTCTCCTGGACATGTTTTTTAAAAGAATATTAGTGAACTGGATTATACCCAGAAGACAGTAAGCAGGACGGTGATGAGACTAGAAACCAGGCCATATTGAGACCAGTTGAAGGAACCTGGGGATATTTAGCCTGGAGAAAAGATGATTTGGAAGAGCAGGAGTGTTGAATGTTAGTTGTCTTCAAGTACTTGAGGGATTGACACGTGGAAGACAATGAGGTGCTCTGCTTGGCCCCAGAGGAAAGAACTAGGAGGTTAAGCCTTCCATTTCCTCCGAAGTGTTAGATACCTGCAGGGATGTGCTAATAAATGCTGTACGATCAATTTGGGGGTGGGGATGGGGGGAAGGTACACAGAACACACTTTTAAGTTTATCTTGCATTATTAACATTTTCTCCATCACTCTATTACAATCAAAAAAATAATAAACCCTGATTTGTAGTGTTTGCCAATTTCCTAGGTATAGAAATTTAACAAACAGATCTTAAGCAGGTATAAGCTAACTGCAACACATTGTTGGGCGCCTGTTTATTCAACTGTTTGGTGCTCAAGCATTTACCTTAGTTGATGCTTTGCATTTGGCTACTGATTTCATAAGGATTACTTGAGTAACCCATTTAAAGTAGTATTAATGAAACTTATTTCACGTTATTCTGCTTCACTATACATTCTAGCCCTAACAGGCCTTCATTTCTGTTCTCCAAACTCAACCTCCTCTCTGCCTTTAAACAGGCTGTATCCTGTGCCTGAATTGCATCTTCTCCTTCACCTCCACCTCTTAGAATGCCCTCGTTTCATGCAAGGCTCAGATGAAGCCTTTCCTGATCATGTATGTACTTCCTGCGTACAGGTTATGTCACCACAGTAAAATAGAAACTATTTAAGGGAAGGATCATAACATCATAAGGCTAGTCCAAACCTCTTGTTTCGTAGATGAAGAAACTGAGACCTAGAAAGGGGAAAGGACTTCACCAATGTCACACCCAGGTCGTGTCAGAGGTATGGCTTGAGCCTTGGGCCATCTTGACACTGGGGCGGGTGTTCTTTCTCACTGCCTTATGTACTTATTGAGAGCTTAATTAAATACTTGTTGGAGTAGATTAGGATAAAAGTGCTATGTCATTTGAAAATTCTACTCATTCCAGTCTGTTCAGCATCATTTTCTTCAGTAGGCTGTCCTGATAATCAAACACAGCATATGTGTTTGTGGTTGCTTTGTGTTCTCCCTTAGCTATTTATGTTTAACCTAAATCTTGGAATTCCCTTATATTTAAAAATGTGAAGCTGCTGCCCCTCACTTCAGCCTCTAAACTAGCAAGAGATTCATTTTCGAACTTCTCTTCACTAATTTGGTAACCTCATGAAGGTGACAGTGACGTTTTGGGGAGGATGTTCTATCTGTTAGAAATATACAGTAGTCATGCTGCAATAGCTAATGATCTTCATCCTTGGTTTCAGGTCAAACTTCCCTTTCCTGTCGATCAAATCACAGATCTTCCAAGAAACGACTTCCAGATGATGATAAAGATGCACAAGTTAACCTCAGAACAGTTAGAGTTCATTCACGACGTTCGCCGACGTAGCAAGAATCGAATTGCAGCTCAACGCTGCCGCAAAAGGAAACTAGACTGCATTCAGAATTTAGAATGTGAAATACGGAAATTGGTGAGTTGGGACACTCTGTCCTCTTGCTTTGCAATTGGAAATCTCCAGGATTGCTGGAAAAGTTGGATAGTAGGGGCAAGAAGAAAGGGAAATGTCAAAGTAAAGAGGCCAGCATCCAGGAGAGGGTTATGATCATTTATTTTAAAATAATGGCCCAAAAGCAAATTATAGCTTCAGGTGTTTGTATGTGTACAAAATGCTAATAGTGTCCCATGGCCTTCATTGTTTATATAACAATAATTTTTTTTCCAAATTTATCTATAAATGGGGCTATTGATAGCTCACCTGATTCAAGGCAGAGGTCTAGACAAGATGATCTCATAAGATCTTTTCCAGCTCTAATACACTATGATTCTATGACATTCACAAACAGATGTCCCATTCCACATGCTTAAGAGTATCTCATTCATTCTCCTGCAGTGAAGAGAAATAGAGTTCAAAGTTCACTGCCACTCACAGTGCTAAGCTCCTTTTCCTTCCAAGACAACCAAACCTCAGACTAGGAGTCAGCCTCAGTTCTGTAAAATTCTGCAATTCTTCCCCACATTTCCAAAGAGCTGAATAGTGGAGCCCATTACTGAGGCTATGTCTGCGTTAGCCTGGGAAGTAAAAGATGTATCAACATTGCATCATAAAAAATTGCTATGACATCTCCCTGTTAGTATGCTTCAGGCAGCCTTTTGCTTTATTTTAAGCCTGTAGCTTGATAAAAAAAAAAATAAAGCAGACAAGTGAAACCACTTGAAAAGCAGGAGGAGCTCTTAAATGCTTTATAATCAGTGTGAAAAAAGCACCCTCAGCTTCAGTGTCCCCGTTGAGGAAGTAGCACACAAACACATGTTCTCCTACATGTGAAGCTCTCACCACACACTTTACTCATCTCCACAGTACCAGTTTAATCAGTGGTGTACTAGGCTAGCTCTGTTCTTCCTGTGGGCCCTGGTCAAATCATCACTCCAGTCACCCAATCCCTAGCTTCTCCTGGGGTTGCCTCCTACTAAGGGTAAAAGCCAGGAAACTTTGTTATCCTCTGCATGGCACAAGAGGCTCATTCCCCTACTCTGATTCAGGCTTTGTGTGGAGGCCAGAAAGCTCCAACTTTTCCAAAGTTCCTTGGGTCCTTCCTATCCACCATTCACCCCCTCAGAATTCTTTGTCTCCAGCACACTCCACACAGCTTTTGCAAACTTGCCTAATGTATTTCTCTCAAGTTACACGTCTACATCTGTTTATTTTTCATTTTTTAAACATGTTTTCTTGGTAAATTTATAAATATTTTAGCAGGTGCCCTTTCCCTGTGTAAATCTCTCAGACACACATGGCCACCCTGCCTGCCAGATTGCATTTCCTTTCTCTCACATTCGCCACATAAGGATTCATTTTCTTTCTTGGGTTTCTGCTTGCTTGATATTCATCTTTTCTCTCCTCCTCTCTCCTTCTTTTCCTCCTTGCCTCTCCTCTTCTTTCAATCTCTTCCCTTCCTTTGTCTTTTCCTTACACACACACGCACGCACACACACACACACACACACACACACAACACACACACACACACACACACTCTGCCATTTCTAATTTGGAAGAGTTTGGCAAGGGTACCAAAGAGAAGGGCACGAGAGGCCAAAGGCATCCCTGTCTGCCCAGGGTATGATGACCAATAGCCTGTGGAGTGACCTATAGACATCAAACGAACTAGGTAATAAACATTTATTAAGCACCTACTGTGTGCCAGGCACTGTGCTAAGTGCCATCTGCCAGGATTGACAGAGATAGCACTTAATTGCTGCGGAACTAATTGTGAGTCTGCTCACTTCCTACAGCCTTTTACTTTTCCTCCTTATCCTTTCTGTTGCCCTTCTCTGAGGCAATCCTTGCTTGGAGACAACTAGCAGAGTGTAAAAGCTTACTCTCCAAATGGTAGGTAAGCCATCCTTGTGTGGTGCCTCCTACACACAGATTGCTGTGTCAGTCACCGCAGCTTTCTTGCCACTGTCAAGCCTGGCACCAGCTGAGAAAACGAGGCGCTGCTAGTGCCAAAGGGATGAATCCAGCTGTGCTTGGTAGCTGCCCAGAGAAAACAGTGATTGGCACAGCCCCAAAGGAAGAGCTCCCCAGCGTGCATAAAAAAGGAGAGGACTTTTCTGGAGCTGTCACACTGGCAGGGGAGCCAGGCGGGGCCACTCTCACAGACTGATTTAGTACAGAAAGGGGAGTCCAGAATCTAAAACTGCGGAGACCTTTCATTTGTAAGTACTTGTCATGTGGCTTATATCAAAACCTCTAGCATTTAATGACAGACATAACTGACTGTATCTGTAAATACTGATCCAGTCATTCTTAAAGGCCCCCCAAATGAAGCTACTATGTCGACTTCAGGTCATTCCCACATTCACAAAACAAAATAGACCATGGACATGACCAGTCAGAGCATTTCAGCGATTCCATAATCATAGAATGTTAGTCCTGGAAGGGACCTGATAGGTCATCTAACCCAGTCCCTCTCATTTTACTAATGAGGAAACTGAGGCCCAGGGAGAGGAAATGTTTAACCACAACTACAGATATTGGTTGTGAAAACTGCTGGTTTGAGTTGGTGACAGCTTTATCTATAATTACTGCCCCAGGTCTCTTTATCATATATGTAGATTAAGTATACAGAAAAAGGTCCTGTTTAATCAAACTTTCACTATAAATACATGGGAGAGGGAAAGGGCTAGAGAGTGTTCAGTGTACACACAGAGTTAATACAATGTACAAACAGAATTCAGTAGATGTACTTGGACCTTATCCTAACATGGCTTTTAGACTGAGGAAGGAATTTCCTCCATTAAAGCCCTCCTCCTCTTACACTTCATTGTGGTATGGAGGGAGCCCTAGATTCTCAAAGACTGCCAGGAGAGTTCAGGTTTTGGCAGGTCCTGCCATGCTGGAAAGGCTTCAGGTGGAGGAGGCCTAACATCTCTTGTCTAAGGACTAGCCTGTATTACTTTGAAAAGAGTCATTACCAAGTCAGCTACAAGGTAATGAAGTTTTTCCACCACAGCATCTCTCAAAAAACAATCTACTAAATTATCATAGTTTCTATCTGCATTAAAGTAAGTATCCACACTGGTGACATTATAGATCCTCAAAGTGAGTATTGAAATATGACTTTATTACACACACACACACACACACACACACACACACACTCTCTCTCTCTCTCTCTCTCTCTCTCTCTCTCCCTCTCTCTCTCTCTCCCTCTCTCTCCCTCTCTCTCCCTCTCTCCCTCTTTCTTTCCCTCTCTCTCCCTCTCTCCCTCTTTCTTTCTCTCCCTCTCTCTCTTTCTCTCTCTCCCCCACCCAACCACCCACGCTCACCCTCCTGCATCCTATCTAATCAGATCTCTGGTCTCACTGTGCTGTTGAATTCTATTTGTATGTCAAAACCTCTCTAGCCCTTTTCTTCTTTCATGTAGTTTTAGTGAAATTTTTTGATTAGCAGAACTATTTCGCTTTGTGTGTTTGTTCTACTTTGATAAAAAAGGGTCAAGAAGCCATAATAAGATAATAAGTTGTCAAGAACTTTGTGACTGATGGGGAATTTTATAATACATCATTGCATTTGAGCCTCATATCAGTGGTATAAAGTAGACATTATCCACACTTTCAGGTGAGAAACTGAGGCTCATAAAGGTTAAGTGACTTGCCTCAGATCACACAGCTGTCAGTTGGTAAAGCTGTGATTCAAACCCAGGTCTTCTGCCTTCCAAGTCCCATCCTCTTTTTACTATGCCTCAGCTGCTTCTCTAAGAATACAACCTGATTTTTTTGAAATTCCTTCATATATATAATTTCCTGACTAGCTCCCCACACAAAATTGCAGCACTACAGATTTAAATTTGGAAAGGACCTTAAAGTCCAGACTCCTCATTTTATAGATAAGAAAACTGAGGCCCAGAGGGATTGAGTTGCTTTCCCCAGGACACAGAGAGAATGGCAGAACTGAGATTTGAACCCAGGTCCTTTGGGACCAAATCCAGTGCTATTTCTATGAGCATGTTGCCTTTCCAATATATCTACATCTGTGGAACTAGAAAATGAGAATAAAAGACCTTCAAGCACTGCACAATCCTTAACTAATAAACCCTTCCTTTCCCGCCCCCCAAAAAAATAATCAACAACCATGTTCAGTATACTTTACTTACTGAGACAGAAAAGTCTACTGATTTCATTACAAAAAGATATTTAATCATTAGGTTGTAAACAAAGAGAATTTTCTGATTTCCTACCTAGGAACCAGAAAGTTTAACCACTCCCTAAGCAGTCTAGTTAATCAAGTATTGGATGTATACACGGAGTAATATGAGATCTCCAGAATGTGGTCCCGGTCCGTCTGATGCACGAAGGTTATATTATAATGCAAGGTGTCACAGACACAAACCAGAATGGCACAAGTTCACTGGAAATGTTACCTGGGTGGGGCATAGTTCCATGCAAACCTTCACTTTGGTTCTGTTTCCCCAGGTATGCGAGAAAGAAAAACTGTTATCAGAAAGAAACCAACTGAAAGCATGCATGGGGGAACTCTTAGATAACTTCTCCTGTCTTTCCCAAGAAGTCTGCCGAGATATCCAGAGCCCTGAGCAAATCCAAGCCTTGCACCGGTATTGCCCTGTCCTCAGGCCAGTGGATCTCCCCACAGCCACCAGTATTAACCCTTCGCCCACTGGCATGGAGCAAAATCTGGCAGCATCCCAGTGTGTAGGGGAAAGCATGCAGTGCTGCTTGGATCAGGGCACTGTGCCCCTTGGGACTCCCTGGCTGCCCAACAATGTGTCAGAGAATTGTACAGCTGGGAGGAGGTTGGAAGTTGCTGACCAAGGTACCTACTCAGAGAGAGGGCCCTCTCTAGAACCAAGGAGCCAAACAGTGACCGTGGACTTCTGCCAGGAAATGACTGATAAATGTACAACAGACGAACAGCCCAGGAAAGATTATACATAGTGACTTGGGCCCTGACATCCCCACCCAGACAAATGTTCATCAGTCAGCCTGTGGCCAGTTCATTTGTTGTCTAGAAGAACGAATTTGGTGCACACTACAGTGGTCTTAGCAGCAATACTGTTTTTAAGTATTTCCTCCTCCCTACAAGCAGGAGTTACGTAGTTATCTTCACAATGGTGCTATCCCTTGCCCAGGCAGGGAACTCAAACAGTGGCAACACTGTCTGTTTTTATATGTTAATTTCAATCTTAACAGGGATGGACATAACACCTCTGAGGACCCAACCACAGATTATTTTCTCAGTGGCCCATGTCACAAAACCCTATCTCAGGAATTTCCTCTGAATGTTCAATTTTTTTTCATTGAAGACAGCTTCTATACACATCAAAGTTTTATAACTAAACTGTACATATAATATATATAATATATAAAAATATATCTCCATATGCAAAAGTCCCTGCATGCCTCAGTTTTCTCATCCTAAAACTGGAAACTTTCATTTCTAATGTATAAACAAGTTCCAACATTCCTTTTTTTCTTTTCTTTTTTTTTTTGTTTGCCTTTGATGCTAGAAGTAGTTTGGTAACTTGTTATGGCAGTAATTTTTTTCTTGGTTCATAGTTCATCAATATTACTCAGTTTGTACTTATTTATGGAAAAATCAACATGGAAAGCTTATTTGAGAGTTGATTGCAGAGTTTTTGTTTTGTTTAATTTTGGGCACAAACAAATGGTGCCATCTGAGCATTGTGGATTTTTTTTCTTGCAGATACTGTACAGTAATGGTCAACTTTGCCACTTGCACTGAGTTTGGGGTCAAACCTATTTTCATAAATGAAGTTGTAACTTCAGTATAACTCGAGTATACTGTATATTATTTGCTTTATAGTTTAAAAAAGTAAAACATTTTAGATAATTAAAAAAGCACTCAGGTGATAATTATGTAGGAGAAACAATCTTGCCAAATAATGAATTCACCCTCCAATTTGTAGATGATAATCTGCTTGAATATTTTTGTATTTTAACTCCTTAGCCCCCTCCCTTCCCTTTTCCCAAGCAAATTTTAAAGGCATCTGGTTAGTGATGGATGCTTGATGTCCAGATTCCTAGGTGGGGAGAGAGTTTGGGCATCCCACTTGAAAAATGCATCAGTAACAGAACATCCATCCATGATTTTACACCAGGATTCTACAGGTGTTGGTGTCTAGAAACCAAGTTCTGTTTTCTTCCCTGAGGAAGTAAGTTGTGGGTGGTCACTACTTATTCTCTGAAGGGTTCTGTTATAATAGGATCTTCTCTTTTGAAGTCATGGCTATCAACCCAACTACCTTTGAGAAGGCCAATCTCCCTGGAGATGATTGAAGCAATTGGTTGAGTCCACTGAACCAATGGCTGGTCTTTGAATGGTCCAGAAGGCCAGTGAAGCAAATGTGCCCCAAATAGGAGAGACAGTAGTGCAGTTGCAAGCCCAAAGTCTCCTCCTGGCATAGGCAGAAGAGGTTTTTTTTCCCTCCCTTCCTCCTCCAAGTGCATTGAGTTGTGTTTTGAGGTTATTTCACTGTCCTGCTGCCCAAGTATGTCCATAGCTCATTCTGAGGCTTTAGACAAGACAATACCAGAACTCTTCCTAATGGCATTTTTCCTCTTTTGCTACAAAACTGGTTGGCTGTGCACATCTGCATAAAGAGAGCAGCTTTTCCTCAGCACAGAGGGATGATGTTCTCCTCTGGTGCAAACGTTTACACATGAGGTGTGCACCAGTGTTTCTCTTCAGGCACTCAGTAGCTCAACATCTTTCCTTAGGAGGAGGAATCAGCTCCCTCACTCCATGATACTTTTATGACATCATGAATATGGACACTTATGAATGCCCTGGTCTTGCTTAACACCCCTTGACCCCGTGGCTGCAGTCTGGCTCTGGAGGAGAATTGTGTATGGTTTGATATGGGGCTAGGGTGGGAGGGGTCATCGGGGGCTAAATGGCTGATTTTTGGTTCTTTCTTTGTGCCACTGTTTAGACAATATTAAAGCCGCATGTAAAAAGGGGAAGTTAGTATAAAACGTAGGCGAAAAGTGAAACCATAATAACATATGTTTTAGTATTAACTTTTTCTGTACAAAATACTAGCTCTAAATGTTTAAATATGTGTGGATGCCAGAAACTGTTGATTCACACAGTAGGAAAAAAAAAAAAGACTTTTCTTTTAAAATGCTTTCGTTTTAAAGACCTGCCTCTAGGTTTGTGTGTGTGTGTGTGTGTGTGTGTGTGTGTGTGTGTGTGCCTGAAACAGTTTTTTATAAGGCCCTCTATGGATAATTCATTTTTTTTCTTATTTGTTGTTGTTATTGTTGTTGTTGCAATTTCTTGACCTTGTAAAGTAATTCTTTACTTCACCATAAGGTTTTCATTTGTGGGAGACAATGGTGACAACAAGAATTTTAAACTAAATGTGAATCACATGATCACTTCATAGGTTTTTGTTATCGGAGGGAGTCAGCTGACAGTATTTTTTAAACTATTTTTATTGTTGCCTTTTTTAATGACCTCCTCTTTTTTGTTTTTGGTTTTTATTGTTCTACGAGTATATAAATAACCAAGTCTGCACCAGCTTCTTGACATGATTTTACCCAATTAACAACTCATGTGCAACTGGTAGTCTTGACCTCATTCCATCCTTTGTGCGTATTATTGTTCTTGTTACTTTTAAACACCCACAGACCTTGTGCTGCAGCTATTGGTTCCAACCTGGTTCTCGCTGATGGTAAATCTGTTTATTTTTTCCCTCCCCTGACTGTCTACTAACCCAACCTTTGCCATGGGAACTATTGATGAAAACCATTGCTCAAGGGGGGGGGGAGGAACTTTTTCAAGCTTTTGGAGATCCACTTTTTAAATTGTATTTATTTACCCCATGAAGTAACTGATTTCATGTAATTGTTCAGATGCTATAGATGTGGTTTTAGCTATTCTGAACCATGTGCTTATCAAATCTGTTACTGATTCATTTGGAGAGACTTAAAAGGGAGACACTTGGGAGGACTAGATATGGGACTGAATCTGAATTGGCTCCCATGCAGTACAGAGAATTTCCAAATCAAAAATTGATTACCCTTTTTCCTTCCCCCCCCACTCAAAATAAATTTTTTTAAAAAGGTAAAAGTAGCAATGAGAAAAACAACTTACACAAAATTAAAGTCTATAATTGTGTTTTTAAAATCTCTTCCTTCCAAAATAAAGAGCAAACCACCCCTTATCCATGGCCAAAGTTCTAGTGGTATCTACTTCAGATTCCAAGTGGCTTCTATCCATGGGACAACCGATAATTGGGGCAACAGCAATAAGTAGGCAGATCTCACCCCAGCTTAGTGTTCCCTTTTCATTTGCCTTCTCCATGCTCCCTATATCACCAGAAAAACCTCATTTCATTTAAGCTTATTGTGCTATTGTCACTCAAATGCTTTGCAGTGTGTATTTTGTTTCTGCACATTCTCTGGGGGTGCCTTGAATAAGACAGAACTCCATCGCACACTGATTCTGGAACAAATTGGTTGGAAAAGAAAAAGAAAAACTCTTAGTCAAGTTACTAGGACATCCTAATATTTATGCCGTGGACTTCCTAATGTATGATGACTCAGGCGTCAGAGTTGATGCTGCAGTAGAAGACTATTATTTTGTATAATGTACAAGTAATTTATTAAATGTCTTTCTAAGGGTATGCTGCTTTAAGATGCACTATATTTTTGGATTTAATCCTTATATTGTTGTTTTCCCAAGGAAGTAAAAATGTAGTATTACAAAGGCTAACCATAGTGATTAGTAAGCCAACTACTACCTCTCTTTTTAAAAGAAGAGTGGGGACTAGCAACAGTAATTGCATTAGATTAATTGGTGTAGGAGAAGTATCTCTAATGTTAAATCTGTCACTGCTGTGGAAAGGTCCAATGCAAATTTTCTAGCTATTTTAAATGCTTTATAATTGCAAGTTTTAAACACACACACACACACACACACACACACACACACACAATTATGACCCTGTAAGAAGACAGTCCCTTTAATAAACCCAGAACGTCCTGTTGTTGGAATCCACAACACATTTTAGATGAAGTACAGGTTCCTGACTGTTAAAATTGGAAATAAGGTGTATTTTTCAAGCTTTCACAAGGTATCACCCCCTATCTTTGTCCTACATAGTTCTGCTGACTGCACCCTCTCCACCCCTTCCCAATTTAATCTAAGAATTGTTCAAGTCTTTTCAAACCAGCCAAACACCATTGGCACAGCTTAGGGTGGCCTTTGGTTCTATCCTTGACTCACTGGGAATACATGCGCAGTAATTACTTTTGAAGTTTTCCCAATGGAGGTGAATTTGTTGCAGAAGCAGGGATTGCTTGTGGCAGCTACATGCCGCACATAAATGTTAGAGATCCTGCTGAAGATAGCCACAGGACATTTTTTAATATAGATAATGTATATATTCTGTTGTGAGCTAGTATTTTCTTCTGACATTGTGGTTTTCGTTTTAGGTTATGTTTCTGGCAAAGCAATCCTTAGGGTGATTCAGGCTATGTGGATCTAGCATCCATGTAGGATGTGTGTGTGTGTGTGTGTGTGTATGTATGTATGTATGTGCTTTGTGTATAATATGTATATGTATGTGTATTTATAATGCAACCTGAACTATTTTATGACCCAGGCATCATCGTGATGCTGTAGAATCCAATCTACATGAACATACGTATGTGTGTGCAAAGAATATATGTATATAGAAAAGACCTATTATGGCGGATTAGGGATAAATTATTGATCTGACAGTGCAACAACATAGCTTGCAACAAAAAGTAAATGTATAGTATTTTCCTACACTCCACCATGGTAGATGATATTTATACTAAACTAATATCAGTGACATGTTTTTAATTGTAAGCATAAGACATTGCCATTTTGTGAAGAAAACCACTTTGGTGAGGGGGGTCAACTTGAGTAGTTTTTATTTAATGTTGTAACATGGTAATTAGCCAAATCCGACAGCTGATGAAATAAACAGTTCTGTGAATTTCACTTTCATTCCAGTAGTATTGACCTCAAATCAAAGAATGGCCCTCTCTGTGAGCAGGAGTGCACCAAGACCAGATGTTTCACTCAGACTTACATGTAGTGCCAAAAAAACACTCCCCCTGGGGGAGTGGAAGAGGGTGGAGTTGATGGGAGTAAAAGAGCTGTGCCCCAGAAAAAAAAAAAAAACAAAAGTAGAAGCAACTTGAGTTGGTGAAAGCGTTTTCTCTCAGCAGGGTGATTCTCAGACCTCTACCATTTCTGGAGACAGGGGTGTGTGTGTGTGGGTGTGATGTGGTATGGTGTGTGTATGGATGTGTGTGTGTGTGTGATTCCCACCCACCTGGCTCACATTCGAACAGAGTGTATTTGGCATGTCTGCATACTATTGCTGCCTTTGAGGGCCCTGACTCAGGAGCACCCCAAGAGCAAGCAAGAGCGATAGTGAACACAGCAGGGATCGTTGGGTGCTTGTCCTAATATTAGCACCATTCCTTTCAAGCATCGCTTTGGATTTCGAAGCCAGGAATACCTGTAGAATTTGTTCCAGAACCAGTCCAATACAAGTGCACCTCTAATAAATGCCTTACAAACTTCAGAGGCCATATTCAGAACAGGGTTTTATCAGCGTATGCAAGGGGCTGCAGCCCCTCTTCTCTTCCTCCCCAGGTCAAACAGTATGGACAGTTTTCACACATATCTACCTGTATAATCCTCTGTACCTCTCATAACTGGTCAATGACTGTAACAGGTTACATCAGGTGTTTTTCTACATACTTTTTACACAGATTCTATGCGATTAATGTAACTTAATTCAATGCATCATTTAATTGTACTAGTTCTTAAGCTTGTCCTTATTTTTTTTTCTAGGTGACTGTGGTTTCTTGTGATTTTTATTGTAAAAATGAGATGGCTGTTGATGCTTATTCTCTGTTACTAAGAATTTTTACCTTTTTGGAAAAAAAAGAGCATTGCTATGAACTAATGAATTAAAACTTCATTTAGTCGTTGTAAATACAGTATTGTGCAAAAAAAAAAAAGCCCAACCCTTTTCATTCATTTGAATTGCTAGTGTTAACTGAATTTTGTCTAGACACCATTTCTGTTGAAGAAATAAAGACATATCATTATGTATTGTAAATTGATTCTTCTGCCTCTGAAATTTGTTATACATGAATGTATTGGTATATATTAATTACATATTCATAATAATATAATAGTGTAGTATTAATTTATTAGTAAAGGTCAAATCACATCTGTTGTTCAGTCACATCCGATTCTTTGTGACCCTGTGGACCAACTGTCTATGGGGTTTTCTTAGCAAAGATACTGGAATATTTGCCATTCCCTTCTCCATTTCTATGCAGTTAAGGGTTAAGTGATTTGCCCAGGGTCAGGTAGCTAGTAAGTATCTGAGGTCAAATCTGAACTTTGGTCTTCCTGATTCCAGGAGCAGTGCTTTAACCACTCTACCGCCTAGTTGCCCAAGGTCACATTTACTTTTCCCCTAAGAGCATTTATCTTGCTCTAGTTTGAGTCCATGCCTGTTTAACATGAAATCTGATCAGATATTTTAAAACTGATAAAAATTCTAAATTGTTGCCAGGTCTCTGAATTCCAGAACCTTCTGGCCTCAAGAAGCTTAATGAAGTAAATAAGACAGATTTGTCTCATTACTCACAAAGAGAAATTACAAGTGAGTTGAGGAGAAAGGACCCATTATTGGGAGAGAATCTATGAAGTTAACCTGGAAGATTTTCTTAACGAAACTATGAGTTGAACTGGTAGATAGGGACATAGATGCTGAGGACAAGAGGCAAGATGGTCTTCCATACACATGGGACACCTTGGACAAATGTTTTCGGCACAGGTTTATGATAGCCAGTTGCAAGGGACCAGAAAAAGAGATTTGGCCAAAGTTTTCAGTGAAGAATTAAAAATGAACCTTGACGTGGTATGAAAAAGAAGGTCTGTTTTTCAAAGCGTCCTATGCACAGTCATAATCAGTCCTTTAAAAATTCATAGGCAGACAAATCCAGAAATCATCCTATTTGAAATATGTGAAAACTGAAGAGAAAAGTGGCTAACTTACAGGCCTCCATAGGCCCTCTGCCAAAGTACAGCTTTGTTATATTTATTGATTCAGAGCCATCTTCAAATTTATATATTCATTTGTTCGTTAAATTAAAAATTGCGGTGCTACAATGTGCCAAACACGTAGAATATTTGGTTTGCTCAGCATTTTGCTTTTTTAAAGTACTCTAGTCATAAAATTGTAGGACTAAATAAAATTGTAGAGACCTCAGGAGATAAATCCATTCTCCTGACTCTCAGTCAATACTTCTGTTGCGGGCTGAGAGGTTGAGAGGTTGTGACCCCTCAAAGGCCGGAGTACAAAACCGGTCGTCTGGAATGAATTCACAGACTCAAGCATTCTTTAATTCAAGGTGGCAAAGATTTATTGTTACACTTTTCAGTGGGCAAGGATTCTTAAAGGATCCTGCAACCTTAGAGAGGTACAGGTAAAGTTTATATAGGATAAAATGCAATAAAACATATGTCAAATATGCTAACTAGGGGATTCAGGGTAGGATTAGGGAGTGGTTAGGGAGGGGTCAGTTCTCAACTGAAACTCAAGATAAGAAAAGTCCCATTATTCAAGAGAGTATCTGGTCCCAGACATCCTGGGCCCAGTGATAACAAACAGGAAGAATACTGATCAGCTCTATCTGGTCCTGGAATTTGCTGACACAGGAAGGGGTGTTTTTAGTTCACTCAGAGAGAAAAAGATTAATTTAGGTTTTTGGCCCTTATTGGGGCTCAAGTGATCTTAAATGATTATCAAGGGACAATGTTTCTGAGGCTAGGGAGAAATTGGGGCCCAAGTACAAGCACCCAAACATAAGCACCCAAGCACCCCAACACTTCCTTTGAGCCATTCTGGGAAGAATTTTTTGGGTGCTCAGTAGTTTCAGTCATGTCCAACTCTTCGTGACCCCATTTGGATTTTGGGGTTGTTTTTTTGTAAAGACACTAGAGTAGTTTACCATTTCCTTTCCAGCTCATTTTACAGATGAGGAAACTGAGGCAAACAGGGTTAAGTTATTTGCCCAGGGTCACACAGCTAGTGAGTGTCTGAGGTTCTATTTTAACTCAGGTCTTCCTGACTCCAGGCCCAGCACTCTATGCGCTGGGCCACCCAGCTGACTTTTAAAATAAAAGAGTCTCAAATGCATTCTCTAGTAAATCCTTGTTAATTTGTTGTACAATAATTTCATAACCATTCAGATTATATTACAAACACAAACTATTACATACTTGTGTTTGTAATATGAATGACCAAAAGCATTTACTAAATGGAGTAAATGTGAAATGTTTAAACATAGAATGTTTATGAAAGGAGGAACAAGGAAAGGAAGAGGAACTAGCTTTTATTAAGCACCTATTATATTCAGACACTATGCTAAGTGATTTAAAATAGTATCTCATTTATCTTCACAACAGCCTTGGGAGGTAGGTGGTGTTACTATTATCCCTATTTTTACAGATGAGAAAACTGAGCCAGACAGAAGTTGAGTGAGTTGCCTAGGGGTCACTCTGGTATTAAATGCCTGAGGAAGGATTTAAACTCAGGTCTTCCTGACTCCAGGCCTCAGCACCATACCACCTCGATGCTTCTGATGAAGCTCAGAGGTCATTCAGTACATACTTCTCTTTTTATAAATGAGAAAACAGAACTGGGGGGAGGAGGGTGGTATAGATGGAGTGAGTGTTCCAAGTCCTGTATACAGGCAAGTGACAATGCTAAGAAGTTTCCTTCCTTGTAAAATGAGAAGGGTTACACCCTGCGCCCTCCAGTATCCCTTCCAGATCTACGGCTAGAATCCTACACACGGCTGAGCCCTGGCCTCTTGAATCTCATCCCAGTGATGTTTCTCCTGTGCCTGTACCTCACTGACTTCCTCAAGTTGGTGGTGGAAAGCCAGGCATCCATTTTAAAACAGCACTTCAGAAAAAGTCATTTGCATTCAGACTATGAATGTGTTCATTAGGAATGATCTATTTATGCAAACCCTTACAAAGGAAGATAGCCCCAGCCTGCAAACCCTTACAAAGGAAGATAGCCCCAGCCTGCAGTAAATCCAACAAGCATTAAGAGCCTACCATGTGCAATCAATCAACAAGACTTTATTGAGCACTTACTATGAGCCAAGCACTATGTGGCACTATGCTAAGTGATGGACAGATGAAATAATCCTTGCCCTCAGGGAGCTTACATTCTATCAAGGAAAACAATATGTACACATGTAAGTATATACAAAATTACAAGAGTAATGGCTAACATAACTTTACAAGCATTACCACATTTGATCAAAATAAGCATACAGGGGCAGCTAGGTGGCGCAGTGGATAGAGCACCAGCCCTGGAGGACTTGAGTTCAAATATGACCTCAGACGCTTGACACTAGCTGTGTGACCCTGGGCAAGTCACTTAACCCCATTGCCTAGCCCCCAAAATAAATAAGTATACAAAATAAATGCAAAGTTGTGGGGAGACAGGGGGAGGCACTAGCAGCTAGAATGATCTAAAAAGGTTTTGAGTATGTTGGGGCTGAGCTTTGAAAGAAACTAGAGATTCTAAAATGCAGTGGTGAGGAGGGGATGCTTTCTAGGCAGGGGGGCAGTGTGTGCAAAGTCATGGAGGTAGAAAATGAAATGTTATGTGTAAGGGAAAACAAGAAAGTCAGTTTGCTTCACTGAAGTGAATGAAAGTGAGTAATATATAATAAGACTGGAAAGGGAAGTTCTGGAGTCAGGTTATAAAGAGTTTTAAATGCCAAGCATAATTTGCATTTAATCCTAGAGGTGATTGAGAACCACTGGAGTTTATTAAACAGGGTAAGGACATGGCCAGGCAGCTGTGTGGAAGATGGAGAGAGGAGAGACAAGTCAGGGAGACAAATTAGGGTATTATTACAGTAATTTAGGGGAGAGATGATGGGGGACAGCTATTGTGGTGGGCATATGTGTGGGGATAAGAGAAGGTGCTAGATACTGAAGATACCAAAAACAAAATTGTCCCCACCTTATGTTCTCCCAGGCAGGGCAGGGGGGGAGGGGTATAACATATACACAAATAAATATATAATTTGACAAGAGAGATTATTACCAGCAGAGTGATCTGAGAAAGTTTCACAAAAAGATCACACCTCAGCCAGACCTTGAAAGAAGATAAGTTATATGTAAGGAGTAGAAGTGAGGAGAGGGTATTAAAAGCAGAGACGGCAGCCTTTGCAAAGATGTGGAAGTAAGAGATGAATGAATGAATATTAAGTTCAAGAAACTGCTAATATTCCAGTTTGACTGGGATATAGAACGTATGAAGGAAAGTGACGCAAAACAAAACCAGGCAGGTTGGTTGGAGCAGTATTTTGGAACTCCTTAAATGCCAAAGAGAGCCACCGGCTGCTTTGGGGCAGGAGAGTAACACGGGCAGACGTGTTTCTTAGGAAGACTGTTTTGGCTGCTGTGTGAAGAATAAATTGGGGAGAAGAGACTAAAATCAGGAAAGCCAATTAGGAGTGTGTCTCAATAGGCCACATAGGAGGTAATGGGGGCTTAAACTAGGATAGTGACAACATAAATAAATGAAGAAATTGGATGTTTACAAGAAGCATTATGAATGACATAACTTGATTTGGATTTGACTGGAGTTGGGGAGAAGGGGTGAAGGAGAGGGAAAAGTCACTAATGATTGATTTTATTAGCCTGGATGACTAGGACAGAAATGCCTTTGATAAAAAAAAAGTTTGGAGGGACTAGAGTACCTAGATGAGTGTACAAGTGACCAAATGATGGATGGTTGGCATTGTTTTACATGTGTGTAAATATACCTATCCCTCTGTGAAAAACCTATGGGAGACCTTGGATGAAATCTTCCTCAGGTTCAGCAGGCCTAGATGGATTGGTTGTGATCTGTGTCACTGGAAGGAAAATCTATATTGAAAAGATTTGTAATGGAGTTATGTGTGTGTGTGTGTACACACACACACACACACACACACACACACACATATATATATAAAGAGATGGATATATGCCATGCAGATAACATATATTTGTGTGGTAGTGGCCATATAGTATA